GTATTATTGAAGAAAATCTGGTCCCATACATATAAGCAGTTGGAAAAGGAAGACTATTTTAATAGTCTTTTTAGAGAATTGTGGGTATTCTTTGGTGTTATACCAAAACTCCACTAGTGGTTATAGGTTAGTTGCAGTGTAGACTCTGAAATCTTATCAGTGAATGTTTAGTACTTTGTTATAATGAAATCCATTGGTTTATCTTACGCTTTAAATGGGTTCTTTATATTTTATCCATATATGCTTTTGTCCCTGCAGACCCCTGAAAGGATATTAAGGATTCCAGGGGTCCCTGGATCAGACTCTGAGAATCACTGCTGTAGGATATATACCTAAGAGGATAATTGCTGCTTTGAAAGTTATGGGCATTTTTAACCTGACTGAGCAATTTGGCACTGTCCCTTTAAGTGGTTATCCAAATTTATATTCCCACCAGCAGCATAGGAGAGTTCCATGTGCTCCACATTTTCAACAACACTTGATATGAACAGTGTAATTTTTGCTGACATGGTTGGTGTAAGAAATGCAGTTTTACATCTTTTGTGTATATTTCTGTTAGATTCTATTATCCAACTATTTCTTTTCTGTCAGTCCACCCTTCTCTTCCCTCCCTCCTATTCTTTCCCCCCTCCCCCAATTCATTTTGATTTTTCTTCCTTATTCTGTTCTTTCTATGCTGTTACACATACTATGTCTTTTTCTTTTAGTCATTACCTCAGGAATTTTAACCTGCATGCTTAATAAGATTTAAAGGTAATCAATATCTTTAGCTTCCTCCAGAAAAATACAAGGACCTTAGAATGCATTTACTCAACCTCTCACCCCCTGATTTGGATACTCTATTATTTTTCAAAAATTAGGTCTTTATTTATTCTTTTTTTTTTTTTTTGCCATTCAAGTTAAAGATTTTATTTTATTTATTTATTTATTTATTTATTTAAATTTATTTTTTCCCCCCAAAGCCCCATTAGATAGTTGTATGTCACAGCTGCACATCCTTCTAGTTGCTGTATGTGGGACGCGGCCTCAGCATGGCCAGAGAAGCGGTGCGTCGGTGCGCGCTGGGGATCCGAACCCTGGGCCACCAGCAGCGCAGCGCACGCACTTAACCTCCAAGCCACGGGGCCGGCCCCGTGCCATTCAAGTTAGTATTATTTTTTGTATAGTTCCCTTAACAAAGATTGCAGAAAGAATTTGTGAAGGCAAATTCTAGAAGTCACTGGAGGATGCTGTAATGTACCTCAAATATTACATATTTTTCTATGTCATCAAATAATATCAAATGAAAAATTTAAATTTGTGCTACTTACCTCCCAAAACTATAATTAAATATAATAGGATTAGAAAGATTAATTTCTTGAGACAGGCAGTTCAGTGAATGTACTTTATGCCAAAGTCTAATTTTGTTTTGATCTAAGAGAAGTTAAACTGAGGTTTTATTATTCTAGGACTTTAATTGCTGTAACTTTAATAGAGGGTACCCAGTTTAAGTTGGCTGATACAAAATGCAATGGGAAATAAATTGAACCTCCTTTTAAAGTATGTATTACATCTTTTGCATTCTCTCCTCATTTTGAATTTATATATTATAGAAAAGCCACAAAAGGTGGTTGGAATTTTTTTTTTTTTTTGTGAGGAAGATTAGCCCTGAGCTAACATCTGTCACCAATCCTCCTCTTTTTGCTGAGGAAGATTGGCCCTGGGCTAACATCCGTGCCCATCTTCCTCTACTTTATATGGGATGCCACCACAGCATGGCTTGACAAGCGGTGCGTTGGTGCGCGCTTGGGATCTGAGCCCTGGGTTGCCGCACTGGAGCGCCCGCGCTTAACCACTATGCCACCGGGCCGGCCCCAAGGTTGGAATTTTTATTAGCATTTTTTGGAGTACTTGCTATGTATTACATTATCTTTTTAATTTCTCAGTGACTACTATTCAGGGTGTAGGTATTATTCCCCTTTTATTGGTGAAGAAAATGCAGATAACATGAAGTGATAAAGTCAGGATTAGGCTTAGTTTTTTTTTTTTTTCCCCCATTTAGACTTTATTTTAGAACATTAATAATACAAAAATCTGTGTGGAAATATTCAAAACCTGGCCATTGAGAAATGGTAAAACTGCTGTATTATCTGTTGCTGCATAACAAATTACTCAAAGTTAGTAGCTTAAAGCAACCCACATTTATGATCTCTGTTCATGGGGACAGGAATCTGGGCAGGCATAGCTGCCCTGGTCCTGGTCCTTTGCTCCAGGGTCTCTCACAGGCTATAGTCAAGGTGTCAGATAGATGCAATATTATCTGTAGGCTCGGTTGGTGAAGGAACTGCTTCCAAACTCACTTGGTTGTTGGCAGGATTTAGTTTCTCTTGAGCTATTAACACTGATGCTTCTGTTTTTTCTGAGCTTTTAATGAGAGGCTTCCCTGGTTCTTTCTTACATGGGCCTCTCCATGAAGTATCTCACAGTATGGCAGCTTGCTTCATCAGAGTGAGCAGGTGAGAAGGCAAGAGATTGCCAGCAAGAGAGAGTGCTAGCAAGATGGAAGTCACAGTGTTTTGTACCTGATTAAGGAAGTGACATCCTATCACCTTTGTCATTCTGTTTGTTAAAAGGAGTTACCAGCTCCGTCCCATACTCTAGGGGAGGGGATCACACAAAAGCACGAATTCCACAAGGTGGGGATCACCTGGGGCCATCTTAGAAGTCTGCCCACCTTAACTACCAACCCACTGTTTTCATTTGAGGTCCCTGAAATAGGGGTGTATTTAGATTAGGTTAGAGGGCAGCTCACATCTTTCAACAAGCCTATCCCATGGCTATTAACGGGTTTTTACCCAAAAGCTCAGTGACCATACAAATGGTAAGAAATAAAATATTGTCATAGGTAGAAGTTTGGAAGAAAGGGTCAGAAATATAAAACACTAAAGAAGAGAAGGGGTATCAAGAAACATGAGAAAAGGAGGGAGGGAAATATCAGCAGGAATCTCCACATGTAAATATCCTGGAACATGGGAGGGCAATTGGGAGGAGTCAGCAGCCTTGTGGTAAGAGTGAAAATCTTCATCTCCCTTAATCTTTGAAACTCTCCAGGGTTATAAATAAGTCCTTAGTTTGTTTCTCAAACTCCTTTCTTACCTCCTTGGAAGAATCTCTTCCCTCTCCTTATCCCTCCCCCCCTTCTTACCTCCCTCCTGGCCCCAAAGAGGCCCAGATGACCTGAGCTCACTCCCTCTTTCCCAATCCTGTTGTCTGAGTCCTGAGTGAGGCTGAGCCCTCCATCCTCAATCTTGAGATTTAGGGCTTTCTCCTCACTTTCCAACAAGAGAAACTGTGTGGAAGACACTAGACTCTAAAGTTTTGGAGAGAAAAGAGGAAAAATGTAAATTCCATCCAGAAGAGGCAGTCTCTAATACATTCTATCCAAAAGGGAGCAATAGTGTACATATTGGGAACAAGTTATCATTAAACTTCTACTTTTAGCCAAAGTGACAGGGCACATGCATTTATACTTTTCCGATGTGGTCTGTCAGAAGTATTCAGGACCACCCTGAGGATGATAAAACAGACATAGACAAGCATGCCAAGGCCCTAAAGCAGCTCCCTTCAACCTGGATCATTCAATCATGCACGGAAAATCCTCCCCCAGACTGAGCTGAGGTTACCAATTCCAAGTTGCCTGTGAATACTTGGAGTCCTGTCCATTCCTTCAAAAGCCAAGGGTTAAACAGACAAAATAGAATACCTAAAGTATCCTAAAAACCAATTGGCTAAATATAAAGCCTCTACCAAGAAATAATCTAAAGGTTTCTTGTTTGGAGTGTTCTCTCCTACCAGGTAGCTATTGGGGGAGTTTTTAAAAAATGAATCAACTCAAAGGGGAGGCAGTATGATCAGTCAATTGAAGGAGAGACATTTCTAGAAATAATCTACCATTGTCTGCACCTCACCCCAAATTGGAACCCATCAACTACAATTCCCATCGTAGTAAGAATATTAGATTTCAGAAATTATTACATATAAATGGTAATCTTAAAGAAGTTCCAAAAAAATTTAGTAGCTTTTTAATGTAGGCATCCAATTTTTCTGAGCCATTATGCTTAAGACTTTCCATCTGGAGGAAGAAATTAAGAGCCACTGTGCATGAAGTTGGGCTGGGAGCAGGTATGAACTGTAAGCAGGCAGAAGGGATTTTACTTCTGACAGAAGTAAATGACAGAAATGACATTTACTGTCATTGACATTTCTGTCATGTGACAGAAATGGTCTAAAACCATGGTGATGGTTGTATAAGTGGTAAATTTATTAGAAATTGTAGAATTGTATACTCAAAATGAGTGAAGTTTGTGGTATGTAAATTATACCTTGATAAAGTTGTTAAAAAAAGAGACGATGTGTAAACCTCTTAAAATTGTGTCATAAGCCTTTTAATAAGGTATTACTCTCTTACTTTTCCCTGTAAATTCTTCCTTTCTTGTTAACCTTAACCCCTCTGGTATCAAATCTTTTTCTATCATATAACCTGTAAAAAAACATGTTCTCCTTCATTTTCCCTATGTTTTTCATTATTTTGATAAAATCATTTTATACTTAAAAATAAATACTTAGGAAATATAACTAGAAGGCAAAATATATAAAATTCAAGTTATTTTGCAGAGCTATATGTAAGAAAGTAAGAAAGGTGCTTTCCTTTCTTCCTTCTTCTCTACCCTTTCACATTCCTAAATATATTTGCTTCCTGGTACGTTTTGGGGAGCTCAGGTCTTTTGACTCGAGCTCCACTGCTTGCTCCTGTGCACCATGTCGGTGGAGATAAAGATGCCTTCGCTGCTGCTTCCCGCTGTGATCAGCATCAGGGGGCAAGTCAGTGGACAGCCAGTGTCTCTGTCCTTTCCCCAGTGAACTTAAGTTATTTGCAGTGGTCAGATCATTGTGTATTTTATGGGTATTAGATTTAAGAGATTAAAAATCCTGTTTAATTTAATTTTTTTTTATTGTTATAGCTCAAATCAAATCCAAGTGAAAATGAAGAAAAGGAAGCCCAGGCCCAACTTATAAAATCTGATGAAATGCAGCGTTTGCGTTCACTAGCACTTGATGCTTTTGAAAGCTCGGATTATACTGCTGCTATAACCTTCCTTGATAAGATTTTAGAGGTAAGTTTGCTGGATATTGAAGGTGACAAGCCTGACACTTACTGCTTTTTACCATAAGACATGTTTATACACTTTGGCGTGTTATATATCACAGAAAACCTAGTTAGGGTAAAATCAGATTGGTCCTTGATCTTTCAGCTCTTAATTGAAAGGTGGTGTCTGTGTACGTAGAACAAAATTTGGAACTGAGGTTTTCAGTATGTGTACTCAGTGGGCTGTGGAGCTGGAGTTACCTGTTTTTATACATTGCTTGCTTTGCTATTTTTGTTTGATTTTGCAGTTTTTGGGGGAAGAAAACTCTAGAGGTTAGATAAAGAGGTAGAAGATGAAAGAGTTGGTTGAAGAAAAAGGAAAAAATAATGCTTGGGAGGAAGGAGGAGTATTTAGAGTGGGAAGCTTCTAGGGAAGAAGGCAGATGACGAGTTGATAGGATCCCGGGGGGTCTAGGTAGGGAAACCTAAGTCTAGAGTTTCCTTGTCTCTGAGGGACTTAATGACAAATGGTTTCAGAAGAAAGTCTACTAAAATATTCAAATGGAAGCAGTCACAATTCATGTTATCATTTTCACAGTGCTTTGATGGACAGTTTCATTTAATCTTGGCCGTAAACTTGTATGTGAGTGGACACTTCTTTGATAATTTTGTAGAGGAAATCGTGTGATGTGGTCCAGCGGAATTCACATTTTACTAAGTTATTTTGTTAATGCTTTATTAAGGAAGTATAAGGTTATAATTTTTATCTTCTAATAGTCAGACTATTCATTTTGACCTAGCTTATTGTCTATGATATTTCATTTATGTACAATGTTGATTTTGATATCTTAATATATGTGAAAAGTTGACATGACTTTAGAACAGCTCTAAGAAATATGTGAAGATACTGCCACAGGTCTTATTGGTGAGCTTTTGGGTTTATATTTTGAAGAATAGTGTGTTTGCTAAATATTGTCAACTTTGATAAAATAGAAAAGGTGAAGCCTCAACCTTCTCACATTGTTTTTCTCTTTTCTTTATTTTTATAATGTGAAAATTTAATTTCAAGGAGGTGACATTTTACAAAAGAGAATTTCATTGGTTATTAGCAGAATAAAAATATTTTGTGAATTTAGAGACTAGATTTTATTTTTTGAGACTAGAAATTAAAATTGTTTAAGTACAAAAATCTGATTAGTCAATATTCTCTTCAAAATTAAATACGATTCACTGGGAACCATCTTCTAGTAGTAAATGCCATGTTTTCTTATTTTCAGAGTTTTGGAATTATGTAATTGAAGGGGGTAGGAAAAGGGCCTTGTTAGTATATATATCCCTTACCCCATTAGAATTTATTTAAGAAATCCCTGTAGAAATTATTTTGTCACATCTATATTGCCTGAGACTTTTTAATACTATTTACAATATAGAAGTTATCATGTTAATTGAAGATGTTTTATGTTGATAACTATGTAGATAAAATATGTGGGATGCAAGTGCGAATGCATATCATTTACTGTTGCTTTCTTAAAGTCTAGTTCTCTTGTTTCTCAAGGTTTGTGTTTGGGATGCAGAACTACGGGAACTTCGAGCTGAATGTTTTATAAAAGAAGGGGAACCTAGGAAAGCGATAAGTGACTTAAAAGCTGCATCAAAATTGAAGAATGATAATACTGAGGCTTTTTATAAAATCAGCACATTATACTATCAACTAGGCGACCATGAACTGTCCCTCAGGTCAGTTCTAGTAACATGCACATCTCATCATCTTTTTATTGTTAGCAGTAAGATAATCTCATTCTCTTTTTATTTTTAATTTTAAATTAATAAAATTATGGTTAAGCCTGGTTTTATATTTTATATCTATATATTTTCCGTTGTCTCTAAGTTATTCTACTTCCACATAATTTATTTTCATGGAGTATGCTTATTAAAATAAATGAGGGCTATTATATTTGCAAAAGCAAAATGGAGTGTTTAATGTATAACTCTTCTTAAGTCATTTGAATTTGAATTAATAAGTATGTGCATGGTGCAATGCCATATATAAAAGTATATGGTAAATTATTGTCAGTATGTTTTAATTGTTACAAACAAAAAATACTTTTCATTGTGATTTCTGTATTTAGTATGGAAAACCACTTATTGATTATTTTAACTTGGAGTATTTTCCTCTTTTTAATACATGAGCAGTGAAGTTCGTGAATGTCTTAAACTTGACCAGGATCATAAAAGGTGTTTTGCACACTATAAACAAGTAAAGAAACTTAATAAGCTGATTGAGTCAGCTGAAGAGCTCATCAGAGATGGCAGGTAAGAATATGCTTGTCTAGACTATTCTGCTTTCCCTTGTATGTCTTGTTGTGAGCACAAAAGAAAAATTGAACTGCTCGCTCTTTTACTCCTTAGCCATTGAAGGTGGAGTATCTCAGATGGTACTGGGTCTTAGCAAAACTACCACAATTGTACATTTTTTGAATAAGGCAGAATATAAATAATGCTAACTGCATAGTATTTTTAACAGCAGATTTATTTATATTTCACCAAATATTTATTGAGTTTCTCCTGTATCAGGCACTGACTGTGTACTGGGGCTGCAGAAATGAATATGATTATAGTTTTTGGTCTTAAGAAGCTTATAGTTTAGTGTAGGAGACAGGCATATAAATTGATTATTAAAAGATAATATTGTATCTAGAGGGATACAGATGTGTACAGAGGATACAGAGATTTTCTCGCAGTATAGGATTCTGGGTTAACAGTTCCTTTGTTACAGCACCTGAAAAAGATTGTGCCACTTCTTTCTGTCCTCCATGGTTTCTGATGAGAAATCTATTGTCATTCTAAGTATTTTTTCCCCCTAAAGGTAATGTGTCATTTTCCTCTGACTGCTGTCAAGATTTTTTCCTTTCTTTCATTTTTTGAAGTTTAATTATGTTGTATCTCAGCATGGATTTCTTTGTGTTTATCCTATTTGGAGTTCACTTAGCTTCTAGAATATATAGGTTTATGTCTCGTCAAATTTGGGAAGTTTCCAGCCATTATTCCTTGGAGTACTTTTTCACCCCTGCCCTCTCTCTCCTTTCCTTCTTACACTCCGATTAATATAAATGTTAGACCTTTGGTATAGCCCCACAGGTCCTTGAGCCTCTGTTCATTTTTTTTCAACTTATTTTCTCTCTGTTGTTCAGATTTGGTAATTTCTGTTGTTCCAATTCATTGATTCTTTTCTCTGTCCCCTACATTCTGCTGTTGAGGGAGCTTTCAGTGAGCTGTTTATTTCAGTTTTTATATTTTTCAGTTTTATATCTTCTGTTTCTTTGCTGAGACTCTGTATTTCTTTGCTGAGGCATTCTATTTTTTCATTTGCTTTAAGCATGTTTCTCATTGCTACATTTCTTGTGGCTGCTTTAAAATCTTTGTCAGATAATTCTAACATCTCTCTCTTGGTTCTAACATCTCTCTCCTCTTGGTGTTGGAATTTATTGTCTTTTCTCATTCAGTTTGAGATCTTCCTGTTTCTTGGTATGATGAGTGGTTTTTAATTGAAACCTGGACATTTTCATTTTATAATATAACTCTGTTTTTTTATTTAAATCTTCTCTTTTGGCTGGCTTTTTCTGACACTGTTTCAGCAAAGTGAGGGTGGGCACCACCTTGTTGTTACCAGGTGGCAGTAGAAGTTCCCCACTTGGCTTTCGTTGCTACTCCAGGTGTGGGGCTTCTCACTGCGCTTGGTGCAGGTGAGAGTTTTGGGGACTCATTTCTGGCCGTGGATGAAAGTCCTGGATCCCCACTTGGCCTTCTCTGACACCTCCTTGGCAGGGGTGTGGGCACACCTTGTTACAGCCTCACCAGGGAAGAAGTCTAGGCTCTCCACTCGACCTGCTGGCATTGGTGGATGTGGGGCCATAGTTTTCTCTGTGGTGTTTGGCTAGAGTAGAGCTGTTATTGTCAAAAAGTTTTCTGTCTTTCTAGGCTGCTCTTTCTAGGTCCTCTGTCTTGGGAGAGAGCAGGCTCTTGCTGGCTTTTTGTCTGCATCCATTGGCATTTCTGGGTTGCTGGCTTCTTCATCTCCAAGTCTGAGGCATCTGAAGCAAAAAGAAACCCAAGGAACTTGCCCAAGTTTTTCCTCAGGTCCCAAGGTCTCTAGCTGGTCTTCCTTCTTCTCTCCCCTTTTCTGAGTCTTTTTATATTTTTGAAAATATGTAATGTCTAGGGTCTTTAGACAGGTATTTAGAGGAATTGGGGAAAGTACACCTATTCCACCTTTCCAGAAGCTAGCTTTTTTTTTTAAGTGAAGTACAATATTTTCTAATTGAACTTTTTATTTTAAGCTAATTGTAGTTTCACATGTAGTTGTAAGAAATAAAGTGACGTCTTGCATACTCTGTGCAGTTTCCTACAATTGTACCATCTTGGAAAACTATAGAACAATATCCCAACTAGGATTTTGACACTGATAGCTAGCTTTTGTTTTAAATGTTATATTTAAACCTGTGTTATAATACATCAGCATTTAAATGTGAAGATTGCAGCACTTTGGGAATAATGTGCACAATGGCATAGAAATATATCTTTTAGTTTGCCACTACTGAGGAAAGTAAGAGTGCATAACATGACTACTACTTTTCACCAGTTTAAAAAAAGTGCTGAAATAGCTTTTATTATTCTTAGAAAGCTAGTAAAGTTGGGAATTTAAGTAGTTTCCTTCTGCAAGGAACTATGTTGTACTTAGTTGTGAATATTGACATTCGTTATATAAAATAATGACTCCATTATTTCATGTAGTGAAAGTATGTAGTGATAAAGAAATAAAACCTGATCTCTGTTTTGCTAAAAGTGCTCTGTGTAAGTCAGACTTTAATAAGATGTCTTACTTAGTTTCAAAATTATGAGTGTTTTTCTGGAAAGAAATTCATCATTTAGTTTGCTTGGTACTCACACATATGCTTTGATTTATCCATGTACATTTTCTTGGTCGTGTGTTTTATCTCCCAACTCTTAATTGCAAGGGAGTACCTTCCTCGCCACTCTAGATAATAAGGTAAAAGCTGTGTTTGAAGGCACGTACTCATTCAGGTGAATTGATTAAGCAACATATAGTGAAGAGTAGAGGGTCCTTTCCTTAGCTCTGGAGATAGAATTTCATTGTTACTCATCATGATTTGCTCATTTGATAGGTACACCGATGCGACCAGCAAATATGAATCTGTCATGAAAACAGAGCCAAGTGTTTCTGAATATACAATTCGTTCAAAAGAAAGAATTTGCCACTGCTTTTCTAAGGTAACAGTTGACTTGTTCCCAGAAATGTAAGAACTTAGCATGTGGAATAACAACCATAAATACTTTTCTCACATTTACTTTTAGGATGAGAAGCCTGTTGAAGCCATTCGAGTGTGTTCTGAAGTTTTACAGATGGAACCTGACAATGTGAATGCTCTGAAGGATCGAGCAGAAGCCTATTTAATAGAAGAAATGTATGATGAAGGTAAATCTTTAAGGAGTTTGATCTGCAGCATCTAAAAGTTGATGTATATGAAATTAGCACATGTTTAACATCCTTTTGTTTAGAACAAGTTTACCAGAGTACCTAGAAATATTGGCAATTTTAGAAAAACAGCAGAGAACCTGAAAATTATTCTCCCTTAGTGATACTCGAAAGGTTTACCATATGAAGAAAGAGTTCTGCAGTTGAAACTAGTTCAGAGAATATAAAAATAAAAATTTTAACTTTCTTTGTTGTAGACAAGTTAGAAAAGATAGATAAAATAGAAAATTTAAATTATAGATCTCGGGGCCGGCCCCGTGGCTTGGTGGTTAAGTGCACGCGCTCCGATGCTGGCGGCCCGGGTTCGGATCCCGGGTGCGCACCGAGGCACCACTTCTCCATTCATCCTGGGGCCGAGTCCCACATACAGCAACTGGAAGGATGTGCAGCTATGACATACAACTATCTACTGGGGCTTTGGGGGTAAAAAATAAATAAATAAAATCTTTAAAAAAAAAAAAAAATAAATTATAGATCTCATATCATCTAGAGGTAATCACTGTTCATTTTGGATTTATATCTTTCAGATTTTTGTCTATGCTTATATACATATTAGTCTATATTTTATGCATATAAATGTATATGTACATATTCTTTGCATATAGATGGTATACATATTATACATATAGTGTAGATATATATGTCATATATGCCTAACTAAAAAATGATCACCTGTGACCCCTAAGCTGTTTAGTAATGTTAGCATAGCTGCCTACCCTACTTTGTTCAAGTTGAAGGAACAGAGTTTCCTGCTATTTGTAAGGACCTCGAATAAAGGTAGTACCCTATTTTTGGAAGATAGCTAAGGAATACACAGTAATATACATTTTTTGAAAAACAGAATCCTTTCATATATATTGTTTTGTGACTCTTTTTCACGTGACAATATGCTATGAACGTTTAAATGAGATAATTTTTAAAAGAAGAAGTGGGCCTGATAGCCCTTATTGCAAGGTTTTTGTTTCAAATCAGGTAAAACATTTTAAATTGAAAACAGTAAGAGTATTTTTCTGGTGAAACTTGGTTTGTGATACTCTTTTTCTTTTTTTTTAATTAAGTGCTGATATTTAATAAAAAAGTATGCAGCTATTAAAATAATATGTATTAAATTTTAACGTCATGTGAAAGTAATCATAAGTGGTAATCATGGATAAAGTTTTAAATGCAGTAAGGATGCATCTGCAACAATGATAAAACCTATACTAAGAAGGAGGTAGCTCCACTTATAATTAAGAAAGGTTTGTGATACTCTTTTTTAAGGCAAACTGATAATTCACTTTTTTCCTGCTTTTCCTGAGTTGAAAAGAATTTTGCTCCTAAGCAGTTTCCTGGGAGTGATAATTCTAGTTACTACTGTTTGTGGGACATTTTTGTAGTATAGTCCTTAAGGTCTGATTGAGGCTTGAAATGCATGCAATCAAAATGATAAATTTTAATATTCATAAGAATGCTTCAATAAGGCGGATAATTTACATAGAAGATCCCTTTAGCTTACTTGTTCTTTTCACTTTTGAGCTACTCTCTCTACTAGGATTTTGCATTCCAGTTAGTTTTTGGAACTCTTCATCAAAGGCACTTTGTCATCTCTATCTAAACCCTCAGCTCTAACTGTGAAATTAGAGATGCTGTAGAAGAATATAAAAAGCTTAGTTGGGGGCCAGCCCAGTGGCGCAAGCAGTTAAGTGTGCGCGCTCCGCTGCGGCTGCCCGGGGTTCGCCGGTTCGGATCCCGGGCATGCACCGACGCACCACTTGTCAAGCCATGCTGTGGTGGCGTCCCATATAAAGTGGAGGAAGATGGGCATGGATGTGAGCTCAGGGCCAGTCTTCCTGAGCAAAAAGAGGAGGACTGGCAGATGTTAGCTCAGGGCCGATCTTCCTCACACACACAAAAAAAGCTTAGTTGTAAAATGGTTAAATCCTGTAGACTGCTAAATATAATTTGAAAGATGCCTTTGTAACTTGAATGTTAAACTGACTTATTTTTTGGGGAAAGTTGACAACTTAATTCTTAAAGAAAAAGATGCTTACTACTAATTTAATAGAATAGATCTGTCTTTGAAGCCTGTTTTTTCTTTAAAATTTTATTTTTTTTGTATCCATGCCAGTCCTCCTCGTTTTGCTGAGGAAGACCAGCCCTGAGCTAACATCTGTTGCCAATCCTCCTCCTTTTTTTTTTCCCCCCTTTTTCTCCCCAAAGCCCCAGTAGATAGTTGTATGTCATAGTTGCACATCCTGCTAGTTGCTGTATGTGGGATGCTGCCTCAGCATGGCCGGACAAGTGGTGCGTTGGTGCGCGCCCAGAATCCGAACCCGGGCCGCCAGTAGCGGAACGCACGCACTTAACCACTAAGCCATGGGACCGGCCCCTAAAATTTTATTTTTTATTGACGTATAATTTACGTACAGTATCCTGTTAGTTTCAGGTATATAGCATAGTGATTTGGTATTTATAAGCATTACAAAATGATCAGCACGATAAGTCTAGTTACCATCTGTCACCATACAAAGTTATTACAGTATTGTTGACTATATTCCCTATGCTGTACCTTACATCCCCATGACCTATTTATTTGATAACTGGAGGTTTGTACCTCTTAATCCCCTTCACCTATTTTGCCCGCCCTCCAACCCCTCCCCTCTCTGGTAAACACCAGTTTGTTTCCTGTATCTCTTGAGTGTTTTTTTGTTTTGTTTGTTCGTTTGTTTTGTTTTTTAGATTTCACATATAAGTGAAATCATGCAGTATTTGTCTTTCTCTGTCTGACTTATTTCACTTAGCATAACACCCTCTAGGTCCATTGTCCATGTTGTTGCAAATGGCAAGATTTCATTCTTTTTTTATGGCTAAGTAATATTCCATTGTGTGTGTATATGTATGTTCTTTATTCATTTATCTAGTGATGGACACTTAGGTTGCTTCCGTATCTTGGCTATTATGAGTAATGATGCAGTGAACATATGGGTGCTTATATTATTTTGAATCAGTGTTTTCATGTTCTTTGGATAAATATCCAAAGGGGAATAGCTAGATCCCACTGGTATTTCCATTTTTAATTTTTTGAGGAACCTCCATACTGTTTTCCATAGTGGCTGCACCAATTTACATTCCCACCAACAGGGTACAAGGGTTCCCTTTTCTCTACATCCTCACCAACATTTGTTATTTTTTGTCGTTTTGATGATAGCCATTCTGATAGGTGGAGGCAAAAATATACAACGGGGAAAAGACAGTCTCTTCAATAAGTGGTGTTGGGAAAACTGGACAGCCACATGCAAAAGAATGAAACTGGACCACTATCTTACATCATATACAAAAATAAATTAAAAATGGATTAAAGACTTGAATGTAAGACCTGAAACCATAAAACTCCTAGAAGAAAACGTAGGCAGTCAGCTCTTTGACATTGGTCTTAGCAATATTTGTTTGGACCAATCTCCTCAGGCAAGGGCAACAAAAGCAAAAATAAGAAATGGGAGTACATCCCATTACATCAAACTAAAAAGCTTTTGCACAGTGAAGGAAACCATCAACAAAATGAAAAGGTAACCTATTGCGTGGGAGAAGATATTTGCAAATGATACATCTGATAAGGGATTAATATCCAAAATATATAAAGAACTTACACAACTTAATATTAAAAAAAAACCTGATTAAAAGGTGGGCAGAGGACTTGAATAGACATTTCTCCAAAGAAGATATACAGATGGCCAACAGGCACATAAAAAGATGCAGAACATCACTAATCATCAGGGAAATGCAAATCAAAACCACAATGAAATAAAAATTTCTTTTAAATAGGAGTTTATTCTTTGTCTTTTTGGCGGTTTAGATTATACACTGGGGAATCTTTCTGAATTATGGTTTTACAAGAGTAAAATGGTTGTTTGAGTCTTAAGTATGGAAATTAAGCATGGAGAGAGAAAGAATGGGTTGGTAGGTCTCTAAATTTGGGGGAGTGGGGAGGAAAGCCTGTATAGTTGAAACTGAGAGGTATTACTTGACTTGTTTGGATTTGAATCAGAAGTTTACCAAATGATGTCAATGAGTAATAATCTTTTAACTAGGTTAAATAATAATATGTTGAAATCCTGAGTTAAAATATGAAGGCTTTCCACATTCTCTTTGCTGGTTTTACCTTTTTTTAAAATCAGCAGTTTAAAATGATGGTAGATATATAATGAATGAAGAAAAACTAGGTTTAGGTTAGTAAATAATGGAACATGGAAATGTATTCATTTTGGGCTTGTGATAGAATTATCAGGACCGATATTAGGGAATTTCACTCAGTAGAACGTGAGTGTACAAATACTTCTTCAAGACCCTCCTTTCAGGCCTTCTGGGTATATACCCAGAAGTGAAATTGCTGGATCGTATGGTAATTTAATTTTTAATTTTTTGAGGAACCACCATATTTCTTTCCATAGTGGTTGCACTATTTGCATTTCCACCAGCCTATATTTGTGTTTGTCTACTCCAGTGCTTTGAATACAATTGGTGATATTTCTTAACTATTGATAGAGAATTTATAGTACAAAATTTTAAGTTTTATAATCTGACATGAGCAGGAATTCTCTTTTTGTATTTTACTGTTAGCACTATTATCTCTTTTCCACTATAGAAATTTCAACAAAACATGTGTATAGAGCACATTGATGTATCAGATTCAGTTAGAGTGCAGGCCACGTTATGTCCCTGTGTACAGAATTAAACATAGTTTGTCTCTTTTCTGTTTAAATCAGCCTAAAATATAATGGTTAGGCTAGGCTTGCCTTCAGAGTCTGGTGTTAGAATGTGGTCTACTGTAGGAAGTTTGACTTAAATTGTTCAGCTCTCTTTCATGTCGAAATAGCTCACAGTTCTCTTATACTTCTGTGCTAGTAATGAGACTATATTATAAAGGTTCTTGGCTAAAACTTTCCCTTTGTTGTTTAAGGATA